ATATTCAGGAAGATCAAAAAGAAAAAATAAGTAGGTTTTCTGGACGGGTTCTTCTCTAATGAAACGTTTCGTCTCTCCTCCAAGAGACTTCTTCAGTCTGAGAGTTTCAGGTGAACTCAGCCTTACCTGAAACTCTCAGACTGAAGAAGTCTCTTGGAGGAGAGACGAAACGTTTCATTAGAGAAGAACCCGTCCAGAAAACCTACTTATTTTTTCTTTTTGATCTTCCTGAATATTTACTGATAAGGGTAGGAGCAGATAAAAGCCTGAGGCTCCCAGCAGGTAAAGTCATTAAACTTCCCATTTCCTGGATAAAAAGATAAAGAAAAAAAAGTCAGGGAACAAATACATGTAAAGATATGAATGAATGAATGAATGAATGAATGAATGAATGAATGAATGAATGAAGGAAGGAAGGAAGGAAGGAAGGAAGGAAACAGGAAGACAGCAGCAGGGGAAGACTGAGGAATAGATGGAAAGAACAGGAAAAAGAAAAAAGCATGAAGAGAGAAAAGAAGGAGGGGAGAAAGAATAAAGGAAGGAAAGAAAGAAGAAAAAAGAAGGAACAAAGGACAGTTTGGAGAAAGAAAGAAAAAAACAGACATGAAAAACAAAGAATGAATATACATTAGGAAGTAAAGAGGAAAGAAGAACAAAAGTAAAGGAATAATTATACCAAAAGGCAGCACTTCCACACAGTCCTCCAGTCTTGATGTGTTGTTTGGTTCTCCTGACAACCAGTCATCATAAGTCCACCTGGATCCATCCAACCAGACAAACCGGTGGTCCTGAAACCACAACAAATACACAAATCTTTTCTACTCAAATGTAACTTTAAAAACCACCCCCCTGACTGAAAACACTCACATCCAGTCGTCGCCCTCCCACCCAGGTGCGGGTGTATCCTCCGTTCTGCGTCAGGATCAGGTTCATCAGCTGTCTGTGGGCGGAGGGGCTGRTGATGGAGGCCAGGTGACCTCCAGAGAACTGTTCCTGACAGAAAAACTTCAGGGAAAGACAACAACATGAAACATGGAATCATTTTAAATCTCTGCGGTGTTTCCTGATGAGGGATGACACAACAGTACCTCAGCATCAGCATAATTCTTTGCTTCTTTGAAGAACTGGTAACACTTTCCATCTATGAACTGGCCAGGACAATTRCTCCCTCCTGTGGCTAAAAGGCAAAAATACAACCATTTTTCAACAATTATTATGTATAACAATGATTAAATTATGTAATTACCTGATATCTTAATTTTAAAGACTCTTAGTATTAGTGATCAATAATAAATAAATTATTATGACAGATATGATAAATCTTATTAATGATACACATTATTTCACACATCTTCATCTTATAAACTCTAGATTCACAATAGGTGGAGTTTGAAGCACACACCTTGCCTGTTCTCTGTAGACGAAACTTGTTGTCTCACTCCAAWCTGAAGATATTCCTCTTCCTCTGCCTCTCTAACAAACCTCCTCTGGGCCTCTTCACCTGGGAGGTGACTTTCTGACAGCTGCTCCGTTACCGACTCCTCACCCTCAACAGGAACAGGTTCTGCTTCTTCCATCATCTCCGGCTCGACCTCCATGACTGGTTCATCCCTTTTCCTCAGAAACTCTCCTTCCCTCTCAACCGTACCTCCCTCCTCCTCTTCTTCTTCCTCTGGCAAAGTTCCAGCAACAAAATCCTCTTGTCGGACAGACATCAGCTCCTTCTGGTTCACCTCCTCTTCCAGGCCATCATCATCATCATCATCATCATTAAGTGGCTCTGACTCCATCACAGTTTCAGCAACATTTTTCATCCTGGCTGGCTCAGCCTCATGTGGCTCCTCAGGTTCTTCAGACTGAACGTCCAGCTCCACCTTCACCTCTGATTCCACCTTAAAATCATCAGACTCCAGTTCTTCAGCTTCAGGCTTCACTTCCACCTCTTTCTCCACCATATTTAACTCCACCTTAACTTCTGATTCCACCTTAAAGTCAGGTTCAGCCTGGAGTTCTTCCTCCACCTCTGGTTCTGCTTTGAGCTCCGGTTTCTCTTCATTCATATTTTCTTTCGGCTTCAGGTCCTCTGGAGTCTGAGCATTTTTATCAGAGCTGGGACTGATCTGTGSTGCAGGATTCTCCAGCACCACATGACCCTGCACTGGCACCCGGTCTCCCAGCAGAGGGCTCTGGTCTTCATCAGAATGTTGAACCACATTGGGAGGCAGTACTGGCACTCCTAAAGCCACTGCAAAAAAGAAAAAAGGATTAATTTAATTACATTACTMATTTCTTTGTGTTTTACTTTTAGAAACCAGACTTTTTGTAATCTTTTTAATGAGTTTTTGTTCATCGGGTGTTTTGAAGGTCTTTCAAAGATTTTTATTTTAAATCTAGTTAGTTTTTCTGATTTTCGGTCCGTAGGCTACAGGTTCTGATTGATGTGACAAAGATACATCTGACTGATTATTTAGTAAAATCTTTGAAACCTATTTTGACACAAGTACTGATCAAGATCATTTTAAATATTACAATAATATCTGGCTCCTTCAAAGCAAAAATGTTCACATAAAGAGTAACTTTGTAAAAATTTTAAGTCACTTTTTTGAAGAATGAGTTCGATCCCTCATTTCTCCAAGAGGATATCTGGTAAGTAATTTTATTAAACTGCATGTTGTATTTATGTATTTATTTATGCAATTTTGTAAAAGCAAATGTTTATTCAGACAATAAACTATCCAGATGGATCATGATCAATAACAGCATCTTGGTCAAACTCAAAGTCTGCCATACAGAAATGTMCTGGAAATGAAACAAAAGAAGTTCTGATGAAAGAACGGAAGAATAAATGTCTTACCTGCGAGGCTGAGTGAGAGCAGCACCACCGTCTTCATCTCAATCTTTAAAGTTGTTTTCAGGATTGAACTTTTGTCGTCTCTTCTTATTGTTTTCATCTGTTGTGTTCTTCGGTTTTTATTAGGAGCATTGGTTCGGCCCTTTTTTATCTCCACATTCTCTGTGAGTCATAAAGAGTGACTCTAATCTCTCATCTTATCTTGTCTAACATTTTCTTGTATTTCCTCTTGGCATTTGCTCAGTCAGGATTATGGGGGGAATTTTCCCCACTGGTTCATCTGAAGAAATAAAATTCCTTCCTGACACAGACAAGAGTGTCAACTCAATGTACGGTCATTATTTTTACATGTAAAAACAGCAACAAAAAGACAATCATTTTCACATCAACTTGTCAAACAATCTGTCCTGATGCATCTCAGTAATCCAGGTAGAAAAATCAAAAAGAAAAAATTAGGTAGGTCCTCTGGACGGGTTCTTCTTTAATGAAACGTTTCCTCCAAGAGACTTCTTCAGTCTGAGCTGTSAAACAACTGATTTACTGATAAACAGGACTCTGGACTATAAAATAAGAACAAATRTTTTGTTTCCTCTCATTGGTAACGTCAGCTCAGGTCCAAACAGTTTTATCATGTTTTGAAGTTTAGCTGCAGTAAATGCAAAAATCTGAGATTAGCTGGTTTATTAAGTAGCCAATTTAAAAACAATTTCCAAGCAAAAATAACACCAACACAAAAATTAATTCTCAGAGATGCTAATAAATTTAAACATTTGTTTCAAGCATTAATCTCATTAATCTGTGAGGAACAAAGAGAAGCTTGAAATTTGAACTGGAAATACGTTTTACTGTTAAAGATTACATTATAAAACTACATTTAGATGATCTTTTTGCCCATGTTCTTGTCCTCTAACTKTCTTTGTTGTCTATTTATTTGTAACTAAACATGCTACAGAATAGATTTCCATTTCCTTGAAGGCGCTCCACAGTTAATGACAATGATTGACATTGTTTGATCGAAGTTCAAGGTGAGCAGGTTTACTGCAGCTGTCGAGACGGAAATACAGTCAGATTTGCAAAGATAAATCCAAGTTTTACTGGTTTATTTTTCTTGTTTACAGGAACCAAATGAAATATCTGAAAGGAAACCATTGAAAAGTATAAATAGGATTAAAACAAACGAATCTAAAGGTGTTTAATCAGTGAATAAAGCTTACAGATTTTACATGTGAAATCTGACAAAGCTGTAAAACTCATTTTCTGCTTAGCTTGAAGTTCWAATTGGAGTTTAAAGTAGAGATAAGATGTCTTGTTTCCTTTTCTCAGGTTTGTTGCGTTGTGTGGCGGTGCAGGGTGCAGCTGCTTACATGATGACTGATGTCACACAGTTGTCCCAGCTTTTAAAATCACTTCTTCTTTGACATTTYACACCAGGAACTTTATCTTGTTTAYGTAAAACATGTCAAGTGAGCTGCAGTCCTGTGCATGTGTGTGTGTGTGAGTGTGTGGCCATGTCGCACATGACATCAGTGTGTCCCGCTCAGAGCGAAGCAGCTGGGACTGCTGATTGTGAACAGGTGCAGCAGCAAAGGTTTGGGTAGTTTGTGCTTCACTGTCCCTCTCTTTATGTGCGTTTGTGCACACGTGTCTTGCGTGGATGGCTTATCTGTGCGTCCCCGTGTGTGCATGTGGCCACAAGTGGAAGCATGTGTGCACATTAGCGAGAGCGAGCAACAATGCAGCGTTGTGCAGGCGCTGCTGGTTAGAAACCTAATAGCCAAGGACACAGAGGCTCAGCGGCAGCTGTCCCAGCTCTGCACCTCCTCTGACACTCGTCAGTGTTGACACATGGGCTGATCCTGTCCCAGCCTTTACATGCACATACTACTAATAGAAATACTGAATACACATAAACAGAGAACAAAAACATYACTGACAACACTAAACTCTACAGAAACATGTCCACGAATGTAGTGTTTCAAACTAACCTAAATAAACCGCTGAACACCTTACATTTTTTTTATTAAACTTAAACTTCGTGTYATAGTTTGTTTTATTTGAGCTATAATGAAGAGCTAATATCTTACCTGTTGTGGATAGATCTCATAGGTTTGGAGAAACAGTTTAATTCGGGCAGCTGACAGGTAGTCTGAGCAGGACCAAAAACAAGTGGATTCACCATAATTTCAAATCATGAGTGTCCAGTCCTGGTCCACCAGGGCCGCTGTCCTGCAGGTTTCTCTGCTCCAACACACTTGGTTTGACTGAATGATTGATTAACTTCTTCTGCAGAGCTTGGACAGTAATTCAATCACTGAATCAGATGAGTTGGAGCAGGGAAACCAGTAAAATCCTTGAAGATGGCGGCGGTGGCGGCAGATGTATGTAGCTGTGCAGTATCGATGCAGGAAAATACATCCAATTTGGCTTTACAGGCA